CTGGACTAGAAGGTCTCTAAACGCCCTAACAACTTGAAAGATTCCATTCTCTTCTCTGAATCTGCCCAGGGGGAGGCCTTGGGGGCTGGGGCGCCGGCAGGGGCTGAGAATTCCATAGCAATTTGCATGTGAAAGCATGTTACTGCCATGGCTATTAGTGTGTGCAGGGGGGCTGAAGACAGGGCAAGGACAGCTAACTGTCAGGCTGGCCTGAGAGGCCCAGGCTGGCTGCCCGGGTGGGGGAGGAAGGTCCTGGAGGTGTGCACAGGAGGCTGGACCACCTCACTTGTCTCCCTTTAAGGCCCCGCCCAACGGAGATGCCCAGTTCTGGGTCCGGGCCATGAACCAGCGGGTCTGGCCTCCACAGTCGCTCCCAATCTATTGTACCTAGTGACTTAGGAGCTGTGTGAGGTGCCACAGGAGAGGGGCGGACCCAGGGAACGGGGCAAACTATGAGTGCATTCTCCAAGTTGGCTGTGACCAGGCCTAAACCTCCCAGGGCCATGTTTCCCTCAGGGTTATATATAATGTGTCGTTTTTGTAATTACCTTGTGTAAACTTACATAGTTTGTCAATATAAATACTGTGTATATATGGATTTGTTTGGTTCACTCACAGGCACAGACTTCTGGGGATTCTGAGAGATCAACAATGCGTAAGAAAGAGCAGGCGACTGTGGCCTGTGAGGCAAAGGAGCTGGTTCTGAGGCCTGGCTCGGCCGGTCCTCCCTGTGTGTCCTTGGGTAATAAGTCCCTTCTTGTGTCTGGGCCTCAGTTTCCCCCTAAGGGGCTTGGTCTGGAAAGGAGCTCTCGGGAAAGTCCTAGCTCTACCATTTCCTGGCCTCTGGCCTCTCAGATTCTACTGAACAGGCCTGAGGGCAGCCAGGGAAATCTGGCTCATCCCCCTGAGAGCGAGGGCTCTGCCCAGTAGAATCCAGCCGGCGTGAAATCCCCGTGATGCAGGGTGGATTCCAGGATCTCCTTGGCTTCTCCTGGTCATCTGGAAGCTAAGGAGCCACCTGGAGCCTCTCCCTAGGGCCCTGGCCAGAGAAAAGGGGCAGCTCCTCTCTCAGAAGCCAATTCCTCAAGTGCTGCCTCTAGGGAGGCTGGGAGAGACGAACCCATGGAGCCACGGGGGTAGCAAGGGCTGTGGACACACATCTCTTCTACTTTGGCTTTGGAAGAGTTTATTATGGGTATATTGTGCCCAGCCCCCAGGGGCTAAGGGAGGCAGCCTGGAGACTGGAGCCTCAGGGTAACTTCTGATGGGGATGTTCAGGAACTTTACAAAAGGCCAGCTTTGGTCAGTGATGATGGGAACAGCCAGGGGCTTGGGGTCCCCAAGAAGCCCAGCCAAACTGCCCATTCCCCGCCTCACGAGAAAAGCAACAGGTACCATTTATTGGTGCTTACTACGTGCCCAGCATTCGACAATTCATGGGGAAAAAAATGGATGAGCAAATGCATGAAAGGCTAACTTTAGAACCCAAGTTTCTAATCTGTGTACCTTCTATTCTGCCTCTCACATTCCCACGACCCATCACCACACAAACCCTTAAGAGCTAACCAGGCACTTAAGGGCCTTTCTAGAATGTGAGGTCCCTGGTAGCAGGGACCTTGTCTATTCTGTGCATCACTGTACCCCAGTGCCCAGACCACCAGCTGGTATATGGGAGGTGCTCAGTAAATAGTTTCTGAATAGATGACGAAATCTTGTTCTACTCCTCATTACCCAGACAGGGAAACTGAGGCCCAAAGCAACGGGGGCCTGCCTGCCTCTGGTCAAAAAGAGTCAGGCTGGAGCTGGGATGGGCCCTCAGTCTGGAGCCTCTCGGGACCGGGGCTCTTTCCCCTTTATCAAAGGGCCCTCCGGCAAAATCCTCCCACCCTCCCCTATCCCTTCACACATTCCTTATTCCCCCCGCCCCCCAGCTTTTCCTCTTTTCTTTCTCTTTGCCAGCTGGGTAATTAACCATTGGAAACAGAACCTATAATTACTGTCTCCCCCATGCCCTTACATTGCTTTCAGTTTGGGATCCGTGACCCCTGTCCTGGGTGGAGGTTGGTCTCCCCCTCAGCAGCCAACCTAACAAACACCAGCTGGGGCTCCAGGCCCCCCACCCCAGGTCTAATGGCCAGCTGTACAGGAGACCAGCAGCAGATGGGCAAGGAGGGTCCCCAGGCCGGCTGGGGCTGACTCAGCTGGGGTGTCAGAGGGCCTGTGACGTGCGTGGGCAGGACAGGAGGGGAGGCAGGCAAGGCTGGATTTCGGAGAGCGAACGGTGCCAGGTGGCCAAAGGGCCGCTGGCTCAGCAGGGGCAAAGCTAGGATGGTCCCAGTGGGGCCCGTATCTCTCCTTGGGTTCTTTGGCCCACCCTCAGGCCCCTGCCTAGAGTGCGCCAGGCCATCCCCATCCGCGGGGAGGCCTCCTGTGAGCATAAAATGGACCAGAGCAATACATCACCAGAGCCCCGGTTTTCCAGCTCCACGAGGCCCGTCCCTTCAAGGGAAACTGAGGCCTGGTTAGCACCTGCCCAGCTTGCCTCATTGGTGATCTGGGCTCAGCCTGCAGAGGAAGCCAGGCAGCCGCACCCTCACCTGGAAAGCATCCTCTATCCCTGACTCACCAGGAGCTTGGGCCCAGCTGGGACAGAAGGAGAGCTGAGGGTGGGGCTGGTCTGGGCCCTACCATGGAAGGCTCACACCTCCTGCCTCCACCTAGCTCAGCTTGGTCTCTCTCTGACCCACACTGCTGGGAAGGCAGGGTGGGGGAGGCCTCCCGTTCTTTTTTTTTTTTTTTTAAAGATTTTATTTATTTATTTGAGAGAGAGAGAATGAGAGAGAGCACATGAGAGGGGGGAGGGTCAGAGGGAGAAGCAGACTCCCTGCCAAGCAGGGAGCCCGATGCGGGACTCGATCCAGGGACTCCAGGACCATGACCTGAGCCGAAGGCAGTCGCTTAACCAACTGAGCCACCCAGGCGCCCAGGCCTCCTGTTCTTGAAGGTCCCTAAGGAAGCACGCTTGCTCGGTCTCACGGGAGACAGGGCAAGGGGCAAGGGGGTGGGGAGAAGGGAATCACCTTCAAGGAACTTCCATTTGCTCACGGCATAGAAAAAGGCCTGGGCTCCAATCCTAGTGCTCTGGATCCCTTGCTATGTGTTCCTGGGGCAAGTCACTGCCCCTGATAGGGTCTCAGCTTCCTCATCTCAAATATGAGGCAAATGATTGCCCACCGTCCACCCTCACAGGAAGGTTTATGAGACGCGGTGACAACAACGTGCGTAAAGTAAGTGTTTGAAGCAAGCGGCAGGCACTGTCCAAGCGAAGGACACTCTGCCACAGGGAGCTACCGAGCACCACTGTGGGGCCAGCCCAGCTTGGGCACTGAGCCCAAACCAGCACCAGCCGCGGCACCCGGGCCAGGGCAAGTGGGAACGGCCAGTCCCAGATCTGGGCTGTCGGAGAGACAGCCCCACACTTTCCCCTGCTCTCTCCCGCAGATTTTACTTCACACCCCCATGGCTACCCCCAAGGGGCCCCCAGGAACTCGACCCCCCCACCGGTAGGGTGAGGGCAGCTGATGTCATGGCCTGGGCGGGGGACCACCCAAGGACACTGAGTTGCAGAAGTGCATGAAGGGCTCACCCAACCCGGGTCAGGCTCCACCTCAGTTAGAGACATCAACCTGGCCTGAACCAGCCCTGGTTAAAGACCCCCCGACCCAGGCTGGGGGCCCCACTCTGGCAGGCAGTCAAGTAGCAGAGGCCCCATCTGATCCAGGCACTTCCTTTGGTTAATGAGAAACCAAATAAACAGCCTCTGCCCCAGCTGGCTCCAGGAGCACCCCAGCCGGGCCCAGCCCTGCTCCAGCCCTGCTCCAGCCCAGCCTCCCTTCCCTTCACCCTACAGGTCCCGTGGCTCTCCTCCCCCTTCCTTCTCCCAGCGCTTCCCACTTCCCTCACAGCCCTGCCTGCCCCTTGGCTGGTTCTCTGAAGCTTCCTGCTCTGGATCACTAGCTAGCCCTCCCCTTCCTTCCTCCTCCTTCTTTCCTCTAGTGCCTTCTTACCCATTTCTAGCTACTGGGATCTCATTCGCCTCCTCTCCTGACATCTGCCTTGGCTGTCTCTACAGGGAGCTCCCCACCCCCAGACAGGAGCAGGAAGGCCCCGGGCCCTTGCCAGTCTGCCTCTCTGTTGTGGGATTGAGGCCAGACCCTCTTCAGGGCCCCCCGCCACCCTCCTGGACCATCGGCCTGTGGGAGGGAGACCGGGTGCTCACGGCTGCTCACGGCTGCCTAGCTCTAGGGCTTCGCCTGCCAGCCAGAAGCCCCTAAGTATGCCCTGGTGAGGACTCTGGTGTGGCCCACCTCGAAGACAAGAGAGGCTAAGAAGTGAACTGGGTGGCCTGAGGCAACCCCAGTACCCAGTGGGCCACAGCTGAGGCCCAGCTCTCGGAAAGTTATTTCTATCCACCTTTAGGTGTCTTGAGGCAGGGCAGGGCCGGGCCTGCCAGCAGGTCCCAGACGTAGCTCCAGCCAGGTGGTGGCAGTGCTGGCGGACACACCCAGGGCCCCATGGGAACACCCCCTCCCCCATCAACTCTCTCCAGCAGAGCCTGATGGCAGACTGGGCAGATGCTCATGGCCTGTGCCACTGAGGTGACAAGATGGGCAGGGAGAAAGGGTCGCAGGCTCCAGCAGAACAAGAGAGCAGAGGCACTTGGGGGCGGGGGGAGAGAAGAGGACAGGCGTAGAACACCCAGAAACATCTTGCTCCACTAGGAAAGCCACCCTCTTCCCATACTTGCCCAGATCTTCAGTGATTTGGGCACAGGAAATCTCTCTCTCTCTCTCTCTCTCTCTCTCTCTCTCACACACACACACACACACATACTCACACCTCATTCCCCAACATCATGACACCATTTTACACCCATTTCTCCATGTGGTTAATTTTTTTTTTTTAGTTCTCATTTTTTTTTCTAAGAAAAAAGCAACAAGAAAATAATTCAGAGTTTATACAAAACATCTTTACATTATTTCTTCCAAAAAAGACTAGTATTTACACAAATGGCAACAGAAACAAAACCAAAAAACCCTTCCGACTGCCACCGGGAAGGGGCTGGCTGTTTGGCTCCCTCTCCCACCTGGCACTGGGGTGGGCAGCGGGCCAGGAGCCAGTGTGGAGGTGGGGGGCATAAAGGCCCAGCTCCTTCCATGGCCACTCTGGGAGCGCCTGCAAAGCACACTCAAGTGGCCGTCTGTACGCAGCCGTGCTGGCAAGGAGCCGGGGTCAAAGTGCACGGCGTGCTGGCCCAGCCCTGGGCAGCCTCTTCCTCTTTCCAGGCCCCGGCCCAAGACTGGAGGGGCCAGCGGAAGCTGGGTTGAGGGGGCACCCACCTGTGCTAGAGCCCAGAAAAGGAGCAGGCCGCCTGGCCTTATACCCGCTTAGGTCTCTGCCCTGGGCCTCCGTTTCCCCACCAGGCCAAAGGATGCCAAAGGTGAGGAGAGAACAGGGCGGGGAGGGGGAGGGGCAACTCCCAGCTCTGCAGGGCAAATAGCCACCTGGGCACCTCACCTCCCTCCACCCCCATGAGGTCATCTGCCTGCAGCAGCTCTCCTGTTCCCCAGGCAACAGCCAATTAAGACGTTAATTACCGTGAGAGTGAGGGAGGCAGGAGATGCCCAAGAATCCCACAAGGAAGAGCTTTTTTTTTTTTTCTCTGTTTGTTTGGTGGAAGGGTGGCAGCCACTACCCCATTGCCAAGATCAGCTTTGTAGAAGGAGGGTCAGGAGGGCAGGGCGAGACACTTTGCCCAACGGCCCTCCCGTCTTCCCGCCTGGGCAGGAACAGCTCTGGCCTGCCACCCCTCCCCCAAATACCAAGGCGTTTATAAAAGAACTGCCATCCTATGCTTCCTGGCTGGCCACATCCTGCCCCAGTTCCCTTAAACCGGGCTAGGCCAGGCTCAGAAAGCCGAAGGAGGGGCTGCCTTTTACATTTTTCCATTTTTCTTTAAAAAACAGATGAAAATGAGGTGACAGCTAAAAAATGAACACAAAAACATTAAAAACAGTGATGATAGCGGACAAACAGTCCTGGGGGGGGAGGCGGGAGGGGGGGCAGGGCCAGGGGAGCATCTTCCTGCCTGCTGTCCATCAGCGTCCAACCCTGCCCTCCAAGAAGGGGCGCCCCTGCAGAGCCCAGAGGCCTGGCCAGAGGGGGAAGGCACAAGAGCATGGGGGCTGGGGGCACAAGCACCCCCTCCGAAGCCCAGGGGGCAGGGCAAAAGGGGGGGGTTATAAAAGCCAAGAAACTACAAAACTAAATACAAAGGTGGGCACAGCTGGTCAGGGGAGGGAGCGTGGGGGAGAAAGGAGAGGTGCAGTCCTGGCCGACTGTCCCTCGGGGGCCCGAGGCCGCGCTGGGCCCTCAGACCTTGTAGTAGATGTTCGCTGGGCTCTGGGGCGGCATCTCCTGGACGATGTAGACGGGGTGCCCGTAGTCCCCACTCACCTTCTCGTAGTGGGGGCAGTAGTTGTTCTCTGTAGTCCGTAAGGGGATGATGATGTCGCTGGGCTCGGTGCCCGCCGTGCCACTGCCCCCCTTGGGACTGGCCAGGGTACTGAGCGAGAGGGCGGGCGCCCGCTGCTGGGTGTGCTTCCGGTGCCGCTTGCGCAGCTTGAGCAGCAGAACTGTCAGGAAGATGATGATGAGCAGGAAGATGACACAGCCAGCGCCGACAGCCGCGAACAACGCCACCTTGGAGTTGAAGAAGCTGTCGGGGTCCCCACTGCCACCTCCGCTTGCCCCTGGGCCACTTTTCTCTTCCTGGTTCACAGTCTCTGAGGACAGAGGAGGGAGGGAGACGAGGTCGGCCACGGGTCCCAGGGACACGCTGCCCGCTTCAGGCTGGGCCCCGTGCCGCCGCCCTTCAGAGACCAGGGCCTGAAAAGGCAGCGAGTGCTGGCAAGGAGCCGGGGTCAGCGGAAGCTGGCTTGGGGGGGCACCCACCTGTGCTAGAGCCCAGAAAAGGAGCAGGCCGCCTGGCCTTATACCCGCTTAGGTCTCTGCCCTGGGCCTCCGTTTCCCCACCA